TTTTCAGTCCTTATCTGACGTGACCTGTCTGCAGCATGTGACACTATGGATCACTTCCTCCGCTTTGAACAGTTTCTTCACTTGGCTCCAATGATATGTCTCGTGGTTTTCTTGCTACCTCAACTGGCCACTCCTTATCAGTCTGCTTGGCTGGTTGCTTCTCATCTTCTCAATCTCTAAACATTGGGGGCCTCTTTTTCTAACCACATTCACCCCCTTAGTGATCTCATTCAGTCTCATGCTTACTACGTTGTCTATGTGCTGGTGACACCCAAATTCATATCCTCAGCCCAGACATGTCTCCTGAACTCTTGATGTCTATATCCAACTTGCTATTTGACTACTCCATGTAGGTACCTAACAGATGTCTCAAAGTCATGTCCAGAACTGAATTCCTTATTTCCCCCCTCAACTTATCACACCCAGTCTTCCCCAGCTCAATGGCAATTATATCTTTCCACCATGTGTTCGGGCTAAAAAGCTTGGCCTCATCCTTGACTCCTCTCTCATACTCCGTAAGCGAGTCCTATTGGTTCTACATTCAAAATCAAGAATCCAAGGACTTACTTCCTACTGCTACCATTATGAACCAAGCCACCAGCATCATCTCCAGCCAGATTACCACAATGACCTTTTAACTGGTCTCCTGATCTCTTCCCTGTCTCCCTTCAGTCTAATCTTAACACAGTGGCCAAAATGACCCTGTTCAAGCACAGGATGGATCGTGTTGCTCTTCTGTTCAAAATCCTCCAACCGCACCCCATCTCACCCAGAGGAAAAGCCAAAGCCTGTACAATAGCCTACCAAGCATTACGTGATCTGTCCTCTGCCATCCTCACTCTTTAACCTCTCTGAACTGTCTCCTACTCTCCTCCTAGGTCATTCTCTTCCGACTACATGTTCACACCTCCAGGCTTTTGCATGTGCTGTTCCTTCTGTCTAGAGCAGCCGTGGGCAAACTACGGCCCGCGGGCCAGATCCGGCCCGTTTGAAATGAATAAAACTAAAAAAAAAAAAAAAAAAAGACCGTACCTTTTTATGTAATGATGTTTACTTTGAATTTATATTAGTTCACACAAACACTCCATCCATGCTTTTGTTCCGGCCCTCCGGTCCAGTTTAAGAACCCATTGTGGCCCTTGAGTCAAAAAGTTTGCCCACCCCTGGTCTAGAGCATTCTTCTCCATGTTTCCTTCCTTTACCACTTCCATGTCTGATTCAGTATAGCCTTATTGGTGAAGATTTCCTAAGTCACTCTCTTTAAAACTGCAACCTTTCCTTCAGCCCCTAGCATCCTCTGTCTTTTTATCTTCTACATTTTTCTTTTTATCACCTATTAACTATACCATATAATTTAGTTTTAAATTTAATTCTCTCTCAACAATAAGATTATAAATCTTCAACGAGTTCAAGGAGTATGATATGGG